TGATTAAAGCGACTGAAAAGTTGTCAGCTGCATAGCTGGAGAACCAGATTATTACAAATGATGCAAATACCCTAAACCATAAGTACACCAGATTTTGCTTTTCTGTTGTAATCCGCTCGATTTCTGTTGTACAGCCCTTTTTGAGTGTTCATATGGGCAAATTTTGCATTATTTCAGTAAATTTTGGATTGTTTGGCAAATTGAATTCAAGGAGGATATGCTATTCGTCTTGGTGTTGACCGGCGAACTTCAAATGTGGGCGATACCGGTGAGAAGGAGGACCTCGAAGAAATGGTGTGCTTAATCAAACGGGTCCTGGAAATAACTAAAGACATGTGTCGTAAGAATGAAGAATCTGTTCACAGCTTACGGAAGCAGTTCACCAATAGCATCAATACCAGTCCTCAAACTGTTTGGATTCCCAAACTGAATATTTGCATTTCTTAATTACATCTGTACCTTTCTTCTCATAAGAGTGTTTAGACAGCAGAATTTGAATAGCATCCTTCTATTATGCTTCTTTCCCTATTTTGCTCTGGATGAATTACACATTGAAGACTTACCCAGCTAGGTACAATCATAAGGTGCTGTCAGTTTAAAGCTTAAAATTTGCTAGGGTTTGAAATCAATCGTCCATACATTTTCTATGGCAAACAGTATTTAACAACTTCTTAAAAGTCTGTTTTCTTACTCCTAGGCAAGGAAAGTATTTTCAGACAAGAGTCTTTCAGTATCTAAAAATTTTAGCTACCTGAAAATAGGCCGCATTTAAGGACTAGCAACAAACAGCGTTTCATCTATAGGCACGAACAAGCACGTTTGTTCTGAAAAACAATTTGGATAAGTTGGGCACGGAAGTTAAGGCTGTAGAGGACTAGCCTAAGTTAGTAAGTGAACAGGGAAATTAAGGGGTAGAAAAGAAAAGAACAAGTAATAAAATAAATAACTGGGAAGTCAGGAAAAATATATCTACAGAAGGATGAAATAAGAATTACAAGCAATGTTGCGAATAAGAAGCGAAACGGACCACGCTAAGCGGTGGCTCTTCTACTACGAAAGCGAGAGGGAAAAAGAATAGAAGCTTTCAATTGTCAGGAAATATAATGTAATGGCCAACGAGTTTTTTTTATGAAAGTAATATCCTGACCAAATTTTTGGTTTCTGAGTCACAAAGGAAGAAATATTTGC